AAAAAAAGCGGGATGTGATCCGGTTTTTCCTCCCTCCAGGTCGGCTGGGCTGCTGGAGGAGATGCGCTCGTGGTGCCTGCACAGCACCGTGTGTCGGTGTGAGAGAGAGAGAGAGCGAGCCAGAGAGAGGGAGGGAGGAGGGAGGAGGGAGGGGGGAGGGAGAGAGAGAGCCTGAAGGAACGATCTTCTCTCGAACGAGCGAGCGAGGCAGGCAGGGAGAGGGAGGGGGGCGGGAGTCTGGAGGAGGCGAGAGGTGAAGGTTTTTCCTGCTCGTCTCGAGCGAGGGAGTGAGATGGGGGAGCGACGACAGGTCGGAGGTCATCCGTTGGGTGTGATTGGGGTTCAGGAGCGCGTGGGGTCAATCCAGCGTCTGTCTGCCGTCTGATCCGCTTGGGATCAGGGGAGAGGGGCAAGGGCGGAGGGCAGGAATGGGAACTCGATCCGTTACCTGCAGCCTGGCCGGCTCGGGGCTCATCTGGGCACACCGGGAGTCCTGGCGCTGAGAGCGGGTCCAGGAGGACGGGGGGCAGGCTGCGGGGCGCGGATGGTGGGGTGCCAGTCGTTGGGGTGACAGGTCGGTAGATGGCACGGAGATGGGTGCGAGGGAGTTCATCCTGGCGAGGGGACGAGCCGTGGATGTGACAGCTGGAAGATTGGGGAAGAATTGGGAGGAGGAAGCTGAGGGCAGGGTAATTGCCCGACTGGATCCATAATTGGTCAGACGTTAAATGAACGATCTTGGTGTTTTTTTTTTTCTAGCAAGGATGAATTTTGATTTATTCCACACCGAGGAGCGAAATCTCAAATGATTTTAGAGGCTTGTCTGGTTGGGAAATGTCCTTTATTTGAACAGTTAAGCTTATGCGTATCAACGTTTGCTGGCCTCTGTTAATCAGAATATCCATCAGTATATACATTAGCGCCATCTTCTGGGCAGTTTGGGTATCGCAGTTCCTTCGTCGAAGCTGGTCTAGTTTTTCTGGGTTTTATGAACACTGAGTACCTGCCCCTCTTTTTCGCTCTCTCTGTTTTCCCTTCTTCAGGTCTCTATCACGTGCTCGCTTGGCCCATATAGCCGGTTGGCATTGCACAGGGTCCCACACAGTCCAATTTATGGAGGTTTAGTGCTGTTTGAGAACCTCCACGCTCTTAATTTTTCGTTTTTAATCTGCGCACACAAAAGCGACACATCAAAAGCAGTATTTAAATCCCTGAAATAATGACTAGAGGAGCTAGCTATTCCCCAAACAGCCCAAGTAATGCAAACAGGCTAATGAGTGGGATCAAAACACAATTAGACCATGTGGGAGAAGGAGGGCGACAGGGACCCAGCAGGCAGACGCGAGCTCGTCCTCAATTAGGGAGTCTTAAACGGGCGGAATTCAGATCTTTAATAATTAAGCCTGGAAGTGGGGGAGGGGGGAGGTTAGGATCTGCCATCAGGCCTGAAAAGATTCCAGTCCAAACCACTGAGGAGTCTTTAAGCTGTGGGTGGCAGTGGAGTCGGTGTTATGGAGCCGTATTGTTAAATGACCACGAACAAGGCGGGTGGGCTGTCTGGCTGGCTTGTCGGGAGATTGAGATTGAGATGCACTAGTATTTGTTCAACCTTTTGTTTTAATTTTTCTGGGTGACGCAGAGAAATCTAGTTGTTATGGTGTCCCGTGGAGCCAGGGGGGTAACAGCTCGGGCTCCTAATGGGAGGCTCAGGGTTCGAGTCTGCCATTTCTCATCCGGATGCGGGGATGTGCTGTACCCCTATTTGCTCCAGCACGCCTCGCCTACGCTTTTGGGGACCAGTACCACTGTAGACCAGAATCCTATGTGTGTGGGGACCCCCAGGGCTCAGTGTCCCCTCTCTCTCTCTGTGCAATGGTAGGTGACCCCCAGGGTCCTGTTTGTGTGGGGTCCCCAGTCTCCCTGTGCATCAGGGATCAGTGTCCCTTCTCTCTGTGCAGTGGTAGGTGACCCCCAGGGTCCTGTTTGTGTGGGGTCCCCAGTCTCCCTGTGCCCCAGGGCTCAGTGTCCCCTCTCTCTCTGTGCAATGGTAGGTGACCCCCAGGTCCTGTTTGTGTGAGGACCCCAGTCTCCCTGCGCCCCAGGGCTCAGTGTCCCTTCTCTCTGTGCAGTGGTAGGTGACCCCCAGGGTCCTGT